ACCCGAGTAAGATTAGAAAATGGCTACCTGAGTAAGATTAGAAAATGGCTACCTGAGTAGATTAGAAAATAGCTACCTGAGTAGATTAGAAAATGGCTACCTGAGTAGATTAGAAAATGGAATAGAAAATGGTTACCTGAATAGATTAGAAAATGGCTACCAGAGTAGATTAGAAAATGGCTACCTGAGTAGAATAGAACATGGCTACCTGAGTAGATTAGAAAATGGCTACCTGAGTAGAATAGAAAATGGCTACCTAAATTGATTAGTGGATTAGCAAGTTGGAGTTGATGAGAAAACAGCATTATCACAAAAATACAGAAAATGTTGAAATGTAATCAAAACCTGTTTTGTCTCCTCAGCTTAGGAATCGAAGAAGTCTGAGAGAAGAGACAACATTAAAAGTCAGTTATTTGAGCTTTCCCAAATCAAGAAGCTCAGAGAAAATAAACTGCTCATCATCTGTCACAGATTTTATTATACGTTTCAATCTTGCTCAGTTCCCATCAGACAAATGACTAAAAGACTGCAAAATACAAATACAGGAATCCAAAAGACTGGCAGCTGAACAATGGCTGCATGGCCTATAGGTTATTAGCGAGTCACAGGACAAATTTTTCTCTGTGTGTGTGCTTTGTGAACTTAGCTGGGATAATGTTACGTAACCATGGCAATAAGAATGTAATAGAACTCATTAATACACTGCCAAGGATTCCCCCATCATACCTCTCAATGATGTTTTATCATATAAATCACTATTTCTTGTGTTAAACTGCGAAGTGGAGTTCTAATCACAGAGAATTTAAGTTCTGTTAAATAGGTCTGTTAAAACAACCTGGTTAGGTTAGTTCATCAACAAGGTCATTTGGGCAAGATGTGTATAAAAGACCAATGATATTAATGACGAAAATACGAATAGCAGCGACAGCTGTCAGTCAACTGACAATTATTGGGGATATTTTAATTGTCTTAATTTATGCATCTGCAGGAAAATATAAATTGTCATAAATTTAATAAATAGATTCAAGTTCTTATCTTGGGATTTCACATTATTAAATAATTATGACTTGTCTCAGAGCATTTGAGCATGACTAAGTGAGTCGGGTACAGACACGGTATATATTCAGCAGGTTGTCATATACATTCTCAGTGAATTCAACGCTTTGTTTATCACAAAATCTTTCTCCAGATCTCAATGTACAAAATCCCATAACATGGAATACACAGCATTTCTAGTAACACATACTGAAGTATTCTATTCCCGCAGATACCTGCAATGCTATCAAAATTAACTACTGTAAAATACTTTATTTTCGCTATTTTCGCCGAAGGTATATTTCAGTGAAAATAAAATCCACCAAATATACCTTTTTTCCTATATTTTACATTCAACTCGTCAAAAATCAGTGGAAATAAATTCCATACACAACACCTAAAAAGTCTTTTCACCGAAAATTAATTCCAGCGAAAATAAAGTATTCTACAGTAATATGGAGATTGAATGACAGTGACTGCAAATGATAAGGACACACTTTGACATTTCATTTTTCATTGTTGCTTCCATTAATCATTTATCACTCAATGGACACTAAATGTCAACCAATTATTCATTTCATAGGTTTCTTTGTTCACCCACCCCTTCATTCTTTTATACTCATTTAATAGTTCAAACATTTGTTCATTATTTCAATTGTGTGTTCATATCTTCATTGATTCTATAGCTTATTCTACTTTTTCAACAATTTGATACAATGATTCTTCATTGTTGATTGAACCAGTGGTTCGTTCAATCAATCAATCATTTATTCATTAAATATATTTGTTCATTGAAACATTTGTTCGATTACGAAGTATTGATTACATAGTTTGTTCATTATTTGATAGTTCATTTATTTGCTCATTGATTTGATGTTTATTCATTGAATCAGGTGTTCATACATTTATTCAATGGTTAAAATCATTTGTTCATTCATCCACTTGTGTACTCACTAACTCATATTTAAACAAAATGACCAAATCAGAAACATGGATGTCATCTGGATTCATTTAATTGACAAGCATCGTTATTCGGAAATGATTTGGTACCTTAAACGGTGTATTTGTTTAAAGTAGGCAATCCAATCCAACACTATTCCTATATAGCAGATTTTGTCCTGCAAAGTACTTTATTTTCACTTGGAATTTATTTTTGCTATTTTCACTGAAGGGATAAATCAGTAAAGATTAAATCCAGTGAAAATAACTTTTTTTCCCTCTTTTTTTACGTTCAACTTGAATGAAAAATCAGTGTACCCATAAGTAAAATTCATAATTACAATATTTCTTTCCAGCGAATATTAAGTATTTTACAGTACATGTACATCTGAAATTCAGAAAACTTGGAATACTCATGAAAAAAGATTAAATGACAATTGGGCTAATCCAGATATTTTTGATGAAAAATAAAAAAATTCACAAACATTGCATGCAGATATTTTCAAAATGTTTTATATCACACTGCCTACTAAATACCACATAAATCACTAACTTTATTAATCAGGTAGAACCTGGCACATTGTAAGGGTGTAGTCAGTATGTGTGAGGATTGCTGATACACCCAATATCCTATTACTAGATATTATTGAAATGAACAGGTAGTCGTATAGTATGAAAAACATGCTGGAGACAACTCATCAATTTAGGGGGAGACGACAGTACAACATTATCAAAACACAGAATCAAAAACAGAATGATTTTTACTGATGTGGTACAGTTAACAAAATTAAAATCATTTTTTTTTAAATACATTTTAATAATTTTATTTTTTCACTATTGTTGAATGATATTTGTCAAAATTATGGCTAATAATTGTATTTAAGGTGATATTAAATGAAATATTAGTCAATTTATGCAACGAGGTGGATTATGACAAATGATTAAACATTTTATTAAATTACCTGTAAGCTACAATTATCTATGACTTAAAATAAAACAAAGACATTAATGGTCTTTAAACATTTTCCCTCTCCTGCTAATTGAAATATATATATATGTTATAAATATTTTTTTTAATATTCCCTATAATATCTGTATGTTATATTTCAATCAAAAAAGACAAAGGATATCATATTTCTTCAGCTGGCTCCCAAAAGCAAATACAAAAAAAAATATGTATCGGTAGGTAACATTTCTGGCTTCTTCATTAGCAGCATTGTGCACTACTGATATAGGTGATTTGATTTATTTACATCTAAACTCTAAATTTCTTTCTGCACCTTGACTACTAGGGTCTGTCAACTTCAGGCACCATCCAAAAAATAGTTCCATTTATGGTCTGCTATTTTCCACATGAAATGTCCAAAAATTTCAAACTATTTTGATCAAATAATGTCACATTTTGTCAGTTTGGTCCCAAATTAGGATTGAATTCACTGAAAATTACAGAAAATGCAAACAATGTATCAAATTTTAAGCAAGAAAACGATTTAGTGCTCTAAGGGTTAAATGTGCATGGTAAATACATTGCAGTAATTCACATCATTTCAAGTACACTACTCCAAGATGGCATCAGTTCTGAACAGGGCAAAGGTCAAAATGTCGCCCCAACCTGACCAGGTGACCCAGTTTGCTTTATTGATGCTCAGTTTGCCAGGTATTTCCATATAATGTTTAAAGCTCCATTACAGATGATTATTTACATTAAAAACTGTAGACGAATGCGATTTAGATGCTGTAATCCACATAGCCATTAATACAGACGCTAGAAGACTTCTCTTTGACATATCAATGCATTTCTTGCATACCACTCAGTGTACTTGATACAATATACTTTTAGTCATTTATATCTTACGTCTAATAATGACTTCTGACACTGGTAATCTCAATGCCATCTCAATGCCATGTTCATACATCAACGCAAACTCGACCCAGATTTAGATGAATGCAGAGAAAACCCTGGCCGTTCAGATATACATCCCTAGGATTTCCGGGAACAACTCAATTAGTCCCGAGAATGACTTAAGAATTTAGTAAAGTGAGAGATATACCGGGTACACCAGATTTTAAAATAGTTCCCCGGTGAAAAAATATAAAATCTGATCCATTTTTGAAATAAACCATCCATCCATATAAACACACAATGTTTTACATTAAGCACAATTTATTGTTTTCAATTGATCCCTGTCCCCTCCAAAAAAAAAAAAAAACATCAAATTTCACACAATACCAATTATATGCAGTTCGTGGCATTCTCATTGTTAATATCATTGTTGCTATGGCAACACTCCTCTTAAAATGACTTAAAATTCAAATTCAATTTGGTTAGAAAAGAAAATGTCATTTTTCACATATATAATCCAATTATTGTCAAACAGTAATTTTGAGAGTGACAAAAGACAAATTCAAAAGTGAGAACAAAGCCATTTTTTTCAGCTCCATCCCAAAAAATAAAAGATAGTGCGATATGTAATATGGAAATTGTAGGTCCTGGAATGCAACTTGGATGTAATGTGGGTCAGAGAAAAACCACTCGTTATTTCATAACAATCAGTAAATATGGCCTGTCAAAAATCCAAAAATTATATTGTGCAAATTAGATAACTCAATTTTGAGACTGTCCTTTGGGAATGTGATCAGGTGTCAGACAGACACGTTCTTGGAGCATGCAAAAACCGTGGCAACAGAAACCTGTTAATTGTTGACATCAATGAGACTTTTTGCTATTACGAGACTGCAAGAGCATTTTGAACTCGACTGCGTTGATAGTGAAATCCAAATTATAGGAAACAATAAATGAGTAGAACATCTCTTCAAATACAAAATCAGACAAATGTAAAGCTCACTGATGTTGGGTAATGAATAATAATAGGGAAAGAAAACATGTAGTGATGATGAGTTATAGCCATTCATCCTGGACAGTTTTGCAATAAACACAGTATAATAAATCCAGACAGATCAGACAACCATGTACGGAAGATTTAAATGAGAGCTGTAAATAAGAATATTTCCATGAGTGATCCTACCTATATTGGGGTGCTTCAGTAACCGGCATATTCGGGCTTCTCGTTCTAGCTTCTGAAAATCTAGTGAGGGTGAGATAAGAGAGAGAATAAGATTCTATTTTATATCAATGGAAGTGAATAGTTATAATGACGGACTGCACCTTTATTTGGATTAATACTGTGTTGTAATACATTGCCGTTTTTTTTAAATGCCGGCTTGTTTACTGTATTATATACTACTAGTATATAACTAGACCGCTCTGTTACGTTTCCTTTTATGGCCCCTCGCCCTGTCCGAGAGATACCCGAAAACAGAACACATAATTAAACCAAAGGAATTTAATTGCGGTGGATACTGCACTTGTTATAGATCCAATGTTTGCATAAACCCAAACCAGAATCCGATTGCATGGTAGAATCGGGGTCACGATTAAATTGCGACTGCCCTGTTTTTCACTTCTACAGTGAGGCCACGATGAGTCGAAACGAAAACTGCGGTAAACATTGACTGGGACGAATACATGCATCCCGGAACAGACCGTAAAACCAGGTGTTCGTTATGTCGGTGCACATTTCATTACAATTGTACAACACAGAATCCGTAAGAGACGCGACATTTATTTTTTATGGAAGCCAATTTTTCTATTTCGAACGCTAATTGTCCCGTTTCAGGCCACCAATGTCTGCGGAGAATTCGAAGATATCTCCTACTTTCGTTCATTTCCAAACGTCTCGCCAACATGGCCGCCAGTCTGTCACACGCACTCATTTGTCCCGTAATCGCAAAATGAACGTCTGTGTTCCAATTAACAAGAATTAATAAAGATCATGTCTTACCTCTAGCCGATAACTTCTTTGTATTGATAATTTTGGCAGCAAATTCCTGGCCCGATGATTTCCGCACACATCGTTTCACGATGCTAAAAGCGCCTCTGAAATTAAAAATAAAACGCGAGATATTTAGAGAAAGGACAGTCGCACGACCATCAAATTTTGCGAGAATTAACACAAGATATTCATAGTACTAAACATCCATTTTTTTATACAACACTCACTTTCCGAGTTCTTCTTTGAGATCGTATTCGTCGCTAAATTTCGTGGTCGTTGTTTGGGTCGCCATTTTAAAATGAACATGATATTAATTGATGATTGACGTGTAATGAAGGGGCGCTTCCATTTAAAGAAAGGGGTGTGTCATCCTCGTTGATTTTCGTGATTGCCCCAATTCGACCAGCCGAACGTGATAAAAAACGTGTTTACACAACAAACTAGAAATATACTAAAAAATAGCAATGTAATAGAAAATATAAGACGATAGACAATTCCATCAAGAGATTTGCCACAATATGATTTAAACGCATATTTGGTTGATTGTTTAATAATATAATTATTTGTTATGCCTGGAATCACTTCAAGGTCCACCTGATCACATTGTACCCCATAATATATTCCATGGAAAAAGAGGTATATAGGAGGGTAGAAATACAAATAGACAATAGTTTTAAAATGTGCATCTACAGTTCCTTCGTCTATGCGTTATAAACTGTGATCAGTGTGTCTTTTGTTTGTCTGCTGATTTGAGGAAATTAAATTAGTATTAGTACATTACAACGAACGTACAACTCGATAACATCAATAACAAAAAAACAGCCACGTTGAACAGAAAATAGAACAAAAGCTTAGTACATTTACAATGATCAGTGCTGACTATTGATGCAGTTACCTGTGAGGGCGTTGTTCATGACGGCTCCGGAATAAGGCTACAAAATTAGAATACATAGTTATATGCAATCGTCCGTAACCCCAATAACTGGTATCAGGAGACCGAGAATCAAAGCAACACTAATTAAAATGAAATCATATTAATTGTTTGCACTCACTCGAACAAAAGAAATTCAAATATGAACATAACGAGTGGTGGCGAATAAACATTACATTGTCTTGAGTTAATCTTTGAAACTTATAGACATACAGATTAAACTTGAGTTGTTGATTTTGGCAAACACCACTGAGGCTGCCTTGCTTCCCTTCAAAAAATCTAAATTTTAACCAACTTACATGAAATTCTATGTTATGTTGACTTTATCATTTGAAATTTTATAGTGCATTTTATCAATTGATAAATAAATGTGAAAATCGTAATTTTCAAATCAAATAATAGTAAATAACATTACCTGTTTACTAATGGAAAGTAAGAAAAAAATTACAAAATCAAGTAGTGTTGATTGCGAGTGGAATAAGCTAAGAACATGCAATATCATTAAAATTATCTGGATAAAACTAAGAATGTCAGCCTTCGACAAAAAGGTGTAATTTAGGCTCATTGACTTATACATAATTTTGAGATTAAGTTAGGTCGGAAGGACGAAACTAAAAATATCAGCATCTGGAAAAAAAATGTAAAAAAAGTTATGAAAATAAGATTGAAGATGAAATGCATATTATTTAAGAATACGCCTGTTACGAAAATAAGAAAACAAGTTTATTTACAAATGTGACATTAATACAGATGTCAAAAGACACAAAATAGTATTCAATAATATTGGAAATGGAGGGGAGAATTTTAGATGAATTGTATTTTCCTGTCATTTATGTTAATGTGATCTGAAACAAAGTGACCGCGTGAAACTTAAAGGGGAACCTTCCAAGCACAGGGATTGCACCAAAGAATCACGGGACACTATTGTTTCTGTTATTTACAAAGTTAATCTATCTTTTGTTATCCATTGTAATTTTAATCCAGAAAGTAAATTTGTTGTGAGATTAGGCTTATCTGGAAGTGCCCTTTTAACTTGTTTCGAAAAACAACATAATTCGAATTTGGTTTTGATTTCTGTAGTAGTTGAAAGCATGTGATGGGTGATGACATTTCATTACCGCGATTACGTCCTTTTTCGTTTATTCCGGTGATGCTTTCTCAGGCTGTCATCTTTATTTCATTATACTTCACATTGCGGAGAACAAGAAGATAATTAGAAAGTGTAATTGATTAGATAAAACTAAATTAAAAAAAAATATGAGCTGGTGTCAGTAGTTTCACATTTTTTATACGTAATATGTTGTTTTAGTTTAATTAGAAAAAAATGTGCAAAATTTTTCAAAAAATGCCGCCCTATTTCGGTTATTTTTAAATAAATATCACTCGGTCGAACCGACAAAGCTCTACGAGGTGTGTCATATTTCATATGACCATTAAACACTACCAGTTTGATTAGTGACAATGCTACCGGAACATTACAAAATCTTCTAACAATTTTGTTGATAACGCTCAAATAAACCTTGTGGTGGCGCTCTCCTTGGCGACCGTTTGGCGTGACGCTTTTTTTGCCGGACAACTGTGTGGCCTATGTTTGTGAGAAAAAACACCGAGGGACTTTGAACAAACACAGGCTTCCCGGGCAATGAGATAAATTCTGACTTTATAGATGTGAACAAAAATCAGACAACTCAGATAAATGTGTTTTGCCTTGCATTCTTGCAATATTTTTGCCACTTTAGCTAAATTAAGACTCCTATATGTGGAGGCAAACAATATTCTGAGCCCTTGTCAAACTGGATTTAGGCCTGGGTACAGAACAACTGATAACATGTTTATTCTTAAAACTGCCATTGACAAATATATCAACAATACTGAGAATAAAAAAAAGGGTGGTAAACTATTTGTTGGTTTTGTAGATCTTAAAAAAGCCTTTGATAGTGTATGGCGTAAAGGGCTATATTATAAAATGCTGAAAAACAATAGCAATGGTAAATTATATAATGTAATTAAAAATATGTATGAAGATGTCAACTATGACATACAACTAAATAAATGGTATTACCGAACAGTTTAAATCACTCAGAGGTGCCAGACAAGGTTGTAACATTAGCCCCATATTGTTCAATCTTTTCTTAAATGATTTCCCAGATAAATTGGATGAGACATGTCAGCCTGTTAAAATTGGAAAGTTATCAATAAGTAGCCTACTTTATGCAGATGACTTGGTATTACTCTCTGAAACAGAGGAAGGTTTCCAAAATTGTTTTACTAAGCTACATTCCTATTGCACTGATTGGAATTTGAAAGTAAACACTTTCAAAACCAAAGTAATCGTCTTTAACAAAAATGGCAGGTTGCTCAATCATAAATACAATTTTTATTATAATAATATAGAAATTGATATTGTGAGTAGTTATAAATATTTAGGTATGGAGTTTAAGCCAAATGGAAAGTTTGATTTGGCAAAAGAAAATTTATATAAAAAGGCAGTCAAGAGAGCTCAACAAACTTCGCACCTACAAGAAGTTTAAAACAAACTTCAAAATGGAAAAGTATTTGATGGATGTGAATAAATCAAAATATAGAAAATATATTTGTAAATTAAGAATTAGTGACCATCAGCTTATGATTGAGAAAGGGAGGTATACTAGACCAAAAACAAAACTGGAACACGGAATCTGCACAAGATGTGACAATGACTCAGTTGAGGATGAGTACCATTACATTATGGACTACCCACAGTACAATAAAATGAGGCAGATACTTTTTACAGACTTACATAAGGATAATCCTAATTTTACTTCAATGGATCATCCCGATAAATTTATTTACATTATGATAAACTGCCACATTAAGCCTGAGCTTGGTGTGTTTATAATGCAAACAGGTGTGTATTAATAAAACACCTGATTCTACACTACCTTTTAATTGCCTTTTAATTAATCTGTTATTTTAATTTTTTGATTATCCTTTTTACTTTTTTTTATTTCACTTGACTATGTTCATCTTCTATAGAAAGAATAATGTCAATAAATTTATCTTATATGCATTGCGCTAAAATACCTTCGAGCGTACACAAATACAGTTTTGTAACGCCTCAAAACTGCAGTGTAAGCTCCATTCTTCTCGTTTATACACAAAACTCATTTATTTCCCGCACGTTCATAGTTAGAAACTTTAACTAAAAGGTGTTCACGCACAGGTACGCTATTAAAATCCCCCGTTTAATTGTGTGTTTCCATCCATAAACGAAAGCTAACTATGAGACTGTCTAGGAGGGCGGGCCATTATTTCTGATGATAATTGCGTACAAACACATAATGTTGTATTTTTATGAGGTATATGTTTCCCAGAAATTCTCATGTATAGACCATTTATGATTATTTTTTGTTTCCTATATTTTTTTCTCTAACAATTATATTTGTTCTGAGTCGACTAGCCACTCAGTGTTCAGATCCATCACTTGAAAACGAAAGGTCATGACCTAGTTTTATTTAAAGTTCCCGGATGACGGTATATCCTCTATTCGTAAAGGTTAGTATACTATTGCTGCTTAAATCAATACACAATTGACATTATTTTGGGCATTTTTTTTCGTTGACAGCTAAGTACCCCCCAGAATCTGTCTCGCAAGATAGTAGGGGGTTTACTATGATTTTTGATGACAAAAGGGGTTCGCGAACGTCATTTTACCGTGAGTTATTAGGACTTGTCAATGACAACAGTACAATGTTATTGTTAGACCTGACGCCCGATCTGTCGCTCACCGTAGCAACAGCGAAACAAGACTCAACGACCATGTCATTTTGTAGACGAAATTTGACCATTATTTGCCTTGAAATGCAGTGTTTCCGATTATTTCTGTGTTCGATTTTGTCAATAAATATAACGCTGTCAATATGGGTTGTATCGTCTAAGCAACGGACAAACACTTCGATTAAAGTAAACAAACAACAAACAGATTAACCCGCCATTATTTTGAATAAAAAGGTGATGTGGTTACGATGTGAGATTGGTACTACAAATATAATTTAAGTTTTGTTTCAAATACTTGACTTTTTATTGAAAATATAGTAGGCAGCAATTTATAGAATAGAATAGAATAGAATAGAATAGAATAGAATAGAATAGAATAGAATAGAATAAAATTGGAATATAATATTTCACTTTGAATAATTCAATGATAAAAATGAATTTCACACAAAATGAAATTGAAAATAATTAAGTTGCATTTTCTCATGCATTGCCCTGTCTACCAAATAAACATTTTTTTATTAAATATGAAATTTTCAACTGGCATAACAAATAATTTTTTCAGATGTTTGAGTACTTGTTTATTAACAGCGAAGACCATATTATTAAACAAGTTAAGATATTTGTTCATAATTTGTTTGAAATTAAAAACCAAAATTAGATATTTCAAACTATGGTTTAATTCATATTTTTGTATTTCAATGGACCATTTTCCGTTCACTGCGAGAATCACGCGTTATGCGTGAAATCGAACGTAAAAACAGGACAAACAAAGGTCATAGCGTCGTAGTCGCGTCAAACATCGCGTGGGATTCGACAAACGCGAAAGTATTTCGGGGACATTTCCATGCTCAATAATGTGCTGTCCACATTTGATGACAGGCAATTTCGATTAAGTAAGGGTATTCGGAAGCAATATTCCTCTGTCGAAGATCGGCCGGTCAATGTAAGCTACGAAATAAAGAAATTCTAGTTCAAAATCAAATCGTTTGATTTTTGCGGCAGACGTTCGACGCGCGTCTTTCATGCATCTCGCGAGATCTCGCAATTGTATGGAAAATCACCTATTGTTGAATGTTGTTTTGCTACAATTTTAGATACAAGTTTCTTTGGGCCCCTCACCCATAACTCTAATCCTAACTCTGCCCCTCCAGTACCCCTCCTCAATTTCAAATGTATATATCCCTCTTTGTGTCACTTGTAATTATTTGGAGGGGCATATTGAATTACATTGAGAGCTGAAGTGTTAGGGTCAGGGTTCAGTTTAGAAGTGAGGGGCTTTTAAGAAACTCTTTCCCAATTTCTTTGCTGAAAGAAATTATTATTATTAAATTAATAATACATGTTGTTTTCATTTGTTTCAGGCTATACATTACTTGAAATAAAATCATGAGTTATGGAGGTGGCTACCCTCCTCCTAGTGGTGGATACCCCCCTCCGCAGGGTGGTGGTGGATACCCTCCTCCGCAGGGTGGCGGTTACCCTCCTGCAGTACCGGGGCAACAAATGAGTATCACCGTGGGCTTCGTAAGTTACGTTATCTTCACTTTCCACTGATTTTCATTTAATGTCAGTCTTGTGAATAATTTAGGATATAATAAGTGCTAAAATCAGTGATGTATTTTTGTTTTCAAGTACAGTAAGAGGAAAAAATGTGATCTCCTAGCCTAGAATCCAGTTATTCTAAGTATACACTCAATAATTATTGAGTGAATCTTTTACGTAAATACATAGTTAGCACAGATATGTGTGTCATCACTGATTGGCTGTCTCCATGACCTCAGTGTATTACCATAGAAACATGCATACACTGTTTGACCCCTAGGTAAGGCCTGCCCACAACACTGCAGAAGATCGATTCACTAGTATATTATTTGTAGATTTGTCAAAGTCTCACAATCATAGAAGGTGTCTAGTGACCCCACCCAAAAACCACTTTTTGTTCACATTTACATATTTTTTTGTTTTTCGCTACTAAAAAGCAAACAAAATAACTAGACAGTATTGAATTCAACATACCGGTAGGTGGTTGTTTTGAATGGCTGTCAGGGATTTTTCACATTACAAAAAATGTTTTAAACTTATTTTTTGGTGCTATGACTCTAACACAAGCATCCAGTAAATAACATTGCTCACTCTTTGAGTTAAGTGCAACATCTTTTTTGTGTATTTTTTTTATAATATTTTGAATATGTTTGAACCAAATAAAGATATTAATTTGGATAAGTTTAGATCAAATAGACATTATTGCATCTTGATCAAATTGTTTTGGTAAAATACTGAACAAAATTTATGAAGATTGTATTTTGTGAACAAAATATGACTTTGGGGTTCCATGGGGTTAAACTTGACCTTAGTAGTTAACCCAGCATCTGCCTAAATGTGTATTCTTCAAACCATAATACTGATCATTATGCTTTGTAATCAGTCAAAAGGATTTATGATTATTCAAATCGCTTTTATACTTTAAATAGACATGTCATTCAATTCCCCATTCTTTTCATAGTTACCATGGAAACCATTTCACAATTCAAATTTTATTTTTACTGATTAATTTCAGCAAATGTAGTGAAACTAAATTCTACAGTATTTATCAACACCCGCAAACATTCCACCATAAAAAGTTTATATATTTTTCAAATTTGATTTCAGTACTTTCAACTTGAGATAGCAAACAATCTAATTAAGATCCCAGTTATTTTTTTTTTAAATATGTATTTTATTTTTCATATATTTTATTTTAATTATTTAATCGTGAAAGTTATGTGGCAATAGTTGAAATAATACAAAATTAACTTTAAATCCCTGCAGTGAGTTTTCTTGATACTTAAATCTAACGATTTAATTTTGTGAATTTCCACAAAATATTGTTTCATTGTATGCAGTTGGAACCGAGTAGATTTGAATTTAAATTTGTCGCATTCAAATGATGTTTTCATACAGGCACAACCAGGAGTGATGCCAGGATATCCACCCGAGGCAGGTCCACCACCTTCAAGTGGGCCTCCTCCCCCACCCGGACAGCAGTGGGCACAGCCTGCACCCATGCCACAACCACAAGGTAAAGATATAAACTGATTCAGAGGGCACACCATCTAGGAGTGCCAGTGGTGGTTATTTATAATAAGACACATGGTCTGTATCTCTTTAGCGTCATACATTATTTATAATAATGGACAACACAATGTCATTTCATATTTTTCATTTATGGTAGCGGGTAAAACATGAACAAATGGAAACCCTCATTATGCGGTTTATTCTGCTCGCTTCACTTGTGAAAGTACGGCCGCAGGATACACCGCATCACTTGTGAAAATAACTTCCATCGCTACGAAAACCACAGGGAGGGTGTGGAGTTCTGTCATAGTATGAGAAATTAAATCTTTTTTCATTATGGCCTGTGTTGTATATTTAAATTATTTAGTTGGTGGATACCCGGCTCCACAAGCAGCCGCAGGGTTCACCACGCCAGGATATGCACCAGTACCCGCTAACATTGATCCATATGCACAACAACGTCATCATCAACAACAACAACAACAGCCTCAGTACTATCAACAACAACAACAACCGCAGTATCGGCAGCCACAGTATCAACAACCGCAGTATCAGCAACATGCACATCAGCAAGCGGCACCAGTACCACAAAGAGTACAATCACAGCAAGTACATCCTGTGGCAAGTAAGTGTGATCATTGTCTGGTAACCACACTATTATTCTGCAGGTTACACCCCCCCCACCTCCAGAATACTCTGGACTTGCTGCTTAATTCCACTCATTAAGGTCATTTGTGGGTATTAATACGGATATTCAGATTCCCATGATTTTGACACTATGGCGTTATTTTATATTGTTGTTCACAATACAATACAATAAATAAAAACAAATGGTTATGGAACTATTTTTCACCGAAAATTTCTGAAAACATGAAAACAAGGATGTTTGAGCCATCGGTTCCAATCGGGGAAAGATCTCATCATATCTGGAAATATTGTGTGGTGACATATACTTATTGAGAAAATAGTGGCTTAGTCTTTTCCACAAAACGAAATGAAATAAAACCAAACCCTAACCCTAACTCGCATTTTTTTTCATTGGCCTAATAATATCTGAGAAAATTTTACACTGTGAAACACGAAATGAATAGCGCCATCAGTGTTCAACAATTCCAAAATGGCTGTCACGTCATGTCAGCACAAATGAATCAAGCTGCAAAGTAGGTGGAAAAAAAGGGGGGAACTAAATAATCTCGACAAATTTATTTCTGTGACGTGGCAATGTTTGAAGTCATTCAAAATTTAAGGTTAGGGTTTCGTTTCGTGGAAAAGACTAAGCCGAAAATAGTATGTTATTATAAGATGGGTAATTCTGATTGGCACGAATAGTTAGGAAATTTTGGGAAATACTATTTATTTTCCTTAAAATAATGCTTTTACATGAATTCCTCTGAAAATTGTTCCAAAAAAGATCATTATTGTCACACAATTTTCCCTAAAACCATGATGCCATTTATTAAAATCTATAATTAAGTAGCACATTCAACTCAAAATATTGTGATAAAATTTTCACTATATTTAATAGGTTGAAACAACCTTAAGCAAGTAAATCTATTCGAACTTCATTAAAAATTGGGGTCCACATTTTGATCACATCATATACTGTCCACTGTCATCCATTATTTGAAAAATTAACATAATCAGATTAGCAGCATGTATCAGCCAATCAACTGACATTGTATGAACTCCATTAAATTACCAAATAACAGAAATTCTTAGCAATAGAATTTCCTACTATATTTTCTGTCATTGTACCTTGTAAAACATATTTAATCTAAATATTTGTATTTTCAGCTGCACCACCTCCAGAAAATATGTACGAGCAAAGTAAGTATTGAGTTGTGGATTAATTCAGTACAAAAACAATGTGTATTGTTCTGCCATAAATATCAGCAATTTTTTGGCATATGAAATTGACATTAATGCTGGTTGCATTCCAAGAAAATGTGTGATGCTTGGCTCTCTTTCTGGTTGAAATGAATACTTCCTCTGATACACAGCACTACAAATTACCCAGGATTCTCTATGATTTGTAACACTAGACATTGTCATCTTTAAAACATTTTACTGGCTTACCATCTTGTACTCTATTAAACTCCTAAGGATTCTGCTGTATGCTGTTTTTCAAAAGTATGTTTTGTAATGTATGATCAGAATGTCAAATTTACCTTAAAACAAAGAGGTATTAAAAATGCTGTTAATCTTTGGAAATATACATGTAATCACTAGCATAAGTACTCACCCTCATCACCTGGCAACTAATATGCATATTTCTTTGTTCCATCTATTCAAAGACTTAATTAGGTGTTGGGGATTTCCTTAGTTATCTTAGAATTATATACTTTGGTTATTATAAACTGAGTTTGGTTTATAGTTGACAAAAAATTTTCAGTACTGCTCTAAAAAAATATTCATCAATTTGGAGAAGAAGAAATTTTGAAAAAAGATGTTCATTTTCAGAATACTTGAAGCATATCCACAGATCCACACGAGACGCCTGTGTACTGTGACATTCACCAAATTTTCTCCAACCAATATATGTTTGTACATACCACATGGGATTGTGGGTAATTACAGTCAATGTGGACTGGTTAAAATTATTCCATTAACACTTGACTTCCTAGACTTGTTGAAATGATCCACGTAACATCCCTAGACTGGTTAAAATGAACTCACTGTTACTTGACTGCCTAGGCTTGTTGAAATAATCCTAGTGGCACTTCTCTCCCTAGGCCTGCTAAAATGATTTCTTTAATACTTGGCCTTTTAAGACTGTCTGACATGGTTTTATTGACACTGGGCTCCCCTAGACTGACTGAAATGATTCTTTGACGCTGGGCTCCTTAGACTAGCCGAAGTTATTCCAGAAACAGAACTCTTGTTTGACAACCCTAATTTTTTGACTTCTCACAAACCATGATAGATATACGTGTACACCATTTTTAGCTCCGCTGGTCGACACAGCGGAGCTGTTCATATTACTGATTATCCGTCGTCTGTCGTCGTCAACTTTACCATTTTAACTTCTACTTCAAAATCGCAAGTTTAAATTTGATATGCAAGTACCTTGGATGGTTCTTTCTCAGATTTGTTCATTTCATGTCAAAATCTTAAATTCTCTATTTTTGGTGAATATTTTTGTCATTTTTGGTAAAAAGTGATATTTTCGACTTCTTGTTAAAAACCACAAGTCCAATTGTTTTGATATTACATATATAGGTACTACATGTGGACCTCTCTCAGATTTGTTCATTTGATGATGATATCTTTAATTCTCTAATTTTAACAATTGTTTTGTTTGTTTTTTTGGTAAAAAGTGATATTTTCGACTTCAAGTCTGATTGCTTTGATACTATACATATTGTTCATTTTCTAATGATATCTTCAGTTCTTTAATTGAAATGTGCCTTGCTAACAGCGGAGCTATCTCAGCTGACAGGCTGCTTGTAATATTATTATAACTAATATTTCAGCACCTCCAGCACCAAGACCACCTCAGAAAGTCACAAAACCTAAGCCAAAGGTGAGTTTAATACAGTTCTTAGACTATTTGTTCAACTGTGGTAGTATATAGATAATTGTGGATTTGTGTCATGACCCAATTCAAGATTCATGTCCTGAAGTAAGAATATCTGTCACCAAAATCTAAAACACACATTCACCAAGTTTGTTCTTATTTTTCTTCAAATTGAGCACACATTAGTTTGTTTTCAGCCAATATGGCTGATATCATGATAGCTATTATTGTGCAATGTCAATTCACATTTTTCATTTACAGGTTTTAACCTTTTCACCATCTGTTCTCTCTTTTCATCAAAAATAGTCCTGTTTATAGTCTATTCCAACAAAAAGCATCATAGACACAAAATCTTTCAACCTTGAAAGTCATGTTTTCACCACAGAATCTAACAATTTGTATTTATGAGACTGATTGTTCCTAGTCTCTGTTCGGACGAAGTCTGAAAACGTGAACTATTAATTTGGGTTCGTTCCGTCAGTACGTACGTCCGGAGCTATATCTCACCCATTGACGGATTTCATTCAAACTTTACATGAAGACAATACATAATGTCTTACATATGCGCGTCAAGTTACTTCATGATCGCAGCAAAAATGGTCGACTGATGGCCATTTTTGATGTAAAATTTGCTATTTCTGATATCTAAACGTGTCCGCAGCTGTTGCTCGGAGATGACTGGGTCGATTTGGATCAAAGTTGGTATGATGATCATACATATTGGGTTGTAGGTGCACATCATTTTTTTTCATGATTCGAACAAATATGGCTGACTGGCGGCCATCTTGTTTTTCATGGTACCCATGCTACTTTATCTTGAATGCAATGAACTTTCTGTTTAAATTTTGTACAAAGATAGTATACCAAGAGATACATCTGCACCAACATGATTTTTGTGATTCAATTCAATATGGCTGGCCGACACCCATTTTCCATGTAAAAGTGCTAAATCGTCATTTTTACATGTTCAGAGCTGTTTCTCAGAGATGACTGATTTGGATCAAAGTTGGTATGATGATCATACATATTGGGTTATAGTTGCATGTCATACTTTTTCTGTGATTCAAACTAATATGGCTGACTGGTGGCCATTTTGTTTTTCATGATACCCATGCCTACTTTCCCATGAATGCAATGAACATTTCTGTTTAAATTTTGTACAAAGACAGTATACCAATAGATACATCAACATGAACATTATTTTTGTAATTTGATTCAATATGACTGCCCAATGTCCAATTCTCATGTAAAAGCACTAAATCATAACTTTTTACAAATCCATCTCCTATTAATGGTTTCAATCTAATCTCAATGACTTCATCAGCATCAAATTGATATGTCAGATCACAAAATTTTGGACGGGGACTGTGTCATTAACAATGACTTGTTTTTTTTTGTCTTTAGGTTCCACCACCAATGGAGAAACCCGAAGCTCTGAAAGAAGAGCAGATGTACAAGATTTTAGATCAACCGTTTGAATGCCACGGCACTGTCAAACCAGTTACACCATTTGATGCCGAACAAGACGCTGAGATAATAAGAAAAGCCATGAAGGGATTAGGTGAATTATAATCATATCTTGTTTAATCCCATCAATAGTATGGTACAATACTCATTTTTTTATTTCATATGGCATTTGTATGGTTACCTTTCAAGGTAACCAAACTTGATGGGAGCTCTAAAAAGGCTTGAAATACTCACCTACAAAATAATACGGTTACCAGTTAACAGGACAGTTAAACTACCACCTAGTTAGTGTTGTTGATTGTAGTATTTAAAAGCACTAAATCACTAAATGTGTTTGGTTGCCATGGTAACAGGTACTGATGAAGCTGCCATTATTCAGTTGATCACATCACGGTCCAATGAACAGAGACAGAAAATCAAATTGCAGTTCAAGACAATGTACGGCAAGGTAAGTTCATATTTTGTTCTTTCTGATAGATATGGCTCGCTAATCTGTTCTTATCTTAACCTGATTATTCAACAAAATTTCTTCTATGTCTCAGGATTTGATTAAGGATTTGAATAGTGAGTTGAGTGGTGACCTGAAAGAAACTGTGATGGCGCTGTTCATGCCGACTACGTACTATGATGCCTGGTCAATCCATAACGCTATCAAGGTAAATGCATTTTGCAAGGACAGTAAACTTCATTTGACCCATATACATATACGTTGCTATGCATAGTATGGGACCCACATTCATTTCACATGGTCAACATGACTGCTGCCCTTGCCCTTAAATAAAAATTGTAAATCTGTTTTGGAAAAAAGCAATTTTTTATTAAATTCTAGGCTTGTGTTACAAAATGTTGTTCGAGCTGACCAAGCATCTTTCCACAAAAAAGTGATGATCAATATTCTCTGCAGGTGGCACAAATATTTATTTGGGTGAGTGAGGTTGCACCCTCCCAAAACTTTTCACAAGTTCTACAATACTATGATCAAAAAACATTAGATAAGCTGATGTCTTTGTTGATATATTTCTCACATTCACATCTTTACACACTATATTTTATTTTTTAAGGGTCTGGGTACAAATGAAGAAATCCTAATAGAAATATTGTGTACCAGAACAAACGATGAAATCAAGGAGATTGTTAAGACGTACCAACAAGGTGAACACTGCCATCTGGAGTTTAATTATTTCTATTTTATTTGTTAACACAAATTAGCATCTTTATGGTCTATGGCCGGCAATTATATTTTCTTAAATTTTGTGTTTTATTAATTGAATCTTATATTTAATTTTTCAGAATTTGGTAAATCACTTGAACAAGACTGCATTGGAGATACTAGTGGTCATTTCAAAAGGTTACTTGTATCAATGTGTCAGGTAGGATTTCTTTGGCAAAGACGAATTTCACAAGTACATTGTAGTGAATGTTCAGGTTTTGTAGTTTCAAGTATTGATTTCAAACATATCTTGTGATATTTGCATATTTACAAATCATTTTTTGTTTCCAGGGCAACCGTGATGAAGGCAATTCAGTAGATGATGAGAAAGCGAGAAAGGATGCAAATGATCTTTATCAAGCTGGGGAGGGTAAATGGGGAACCGACGAATCAACTTTCAACAAGATTCTAGCAGTAAGGAATTTTGCTCAATTAAGAGCCACATTTAAGGAATATGTGAAGGTGAGTTTGACTAAGATTAGAGATGAATACAACTATCATTACAATCAAAGCATAACATACATGTAATGGGTTTTCTATCCACTGAGTATCAGTAACATCCCAGCACAAAAGAGTTCATGTTTTGACCTCCCCTTTGGTGCACTAAATCAACCCCTGTTTTTGATGTTCAACCTGAGTATGATTTGAAATTGAGTCTGCCAATCGTGCAATAATGGTGATTATTTTTTAAATAGACCACACAAAATGTCATGGGTGTTTGTCAATACACTTTTCTTCATACTGAATTCTGTATACACTGTACACATCAGCTTCCATGTTGAGTAAATCTCTGGATTGATTTTTTCAGATTTGTCAGCGTGATATTATAAATTCTATCGACCGTGAATTCTCAGGTGATGTCCGGAGTGGCATGCGGGCTATTGGTAAGTTGTATTGGTAATCATCTTAGTTCACCAACTAAGGTTTATTCAGCCATTGCCTCATCACATGTACCTCCGGAGATTCTATTTAGCCAGTGTATAATACAGTGGGCCCCCAGGGGCAGTTCAACCTTATATCAATATCTGATATTATTATACATCTGTCACCATAACGCCATAAGTTACAGCGTGCCATAATTTTGTGGTATTTTCATCCTACCATATTAGAAAATGCAAATTTCAAATATGGAATGATTATGCGCGTAAGCGTCCTCTAATAATAAAAACAAACATGGCTGCCACCAGGGCTTGACCAGACTCCACACAAAGAAGTTCGCTGATTCTGTTCTAAACTTTTTGGATTTCTGCATTCCCATGATGTATCCTTTGTAGGAAAAGATGTATAATTGTGAAGATACCTCAAAGTATGCACTCAGACAGTACGCCGTTGACCTTCGCTGTGCTTTGATACTTCCGCTGTATTGTCTTCATGCATACTTTGACGTATCCTCGTAATAACTTCGTATTCTCAAATATAAAATTTTGATTTCACTTAAACAATAGGATAGTCTATTTTTACACAAAAGATTGACTTTAAACCCATTGTACTTTCAATTTATTGTAGCCATGTGTGTAAAGAGTCGTCCTGTGTATTTTGCTGAAAGATTGCATCGTTCAATGCATGGTCTTGGTACAGATGACCACACGTTAATACGAGTAGTCGTCTCAAGATCTGAGGTGAGGCCATTTTTTTACTCTACCATCTATTTTTCAACCCAACCATCTTTTGGCTCTATCTTTCATCTTTTGATTCTATCATTGGTCTTTTGACTCATCTTTTGACTCACTATTTGTCTTTTGAATCTACAGTTTGTCTTTCAAATCTACTGTTTATATATGCATCTTTTAACTCTACCATCCATTTTTTGACTCTATCATCCATCTTTTGACTCTACCATTCATTTTTGTACTCTACCATCCGTCTTTTGACTCTACCTCCATCTTTTGACTCTACCATCCATCTTTTGACTCTGCCATTCATTTTCTGACTCTACCATTCATCTTTTTACTCTACCTCCATCTTTTGACTCTACCATCCATCTTTTGACTCTGCCATTCATTTTCTGACTCTACCATTTTTTGACTCTACCATCCATCTTTTGACTCAAACTCCATCATTTGACTCTCCAATCCATCTTTTGACTCTTCCATCCATATTTTAACTCTACCATCCATCATTTGACTCTCCCAACCATCATTTGACTCTTCCATCCATCCTTTGACTACACCATTCATTATTTTACTCTCCCATCTATCATTTTACTCTTCCATCCAATTTTTTACTCTTCCATCCAATGATCCATCTTTTGACTCTACCCTTCATCTTTTGACTCTACCATCTGTCTTTTGACTCTATTATCTATCCAAAGAGTTGTAAGACACTTTACAGTATAGTTTGTTCAGTAATATTCATGTCAGAATATTGCTTCTCCTCCTTTTCAGAAACCTTAGAATGTCTCTCTGATTTACTCATTGAATTTAACAAGTTGATTGTTTTTAGCACAGACCCAAAGCAGAATTCAATACATTATGAGATTTTAGTTTGCCCAGATAAAAAATTGCATAGTCGTTGAGCGGAAAAATCATTCAGTGTTCAAAATGTATAACTTAATTGTGCATCTCATAATCACTGAACTTGGTACATGGCTAGATTTATTTAAGGGCTTTCAACAACATGAACTACAACGTTAACAACATGTAAATGACCTTGTGCTGATAGTGATGTTTCACCATGCAATACAGTACTAGTACAATGTAAAATCTGTATTAGTAACCACGGATTCTATTAAAATGGAACAATCCAACAGAGGGGATGCAGCTTCTATTAGAGCATGTACACATATGAGAAATGGTGACTATTTGGTTCTTAATTGTCCAAAATAAATGGGTGTGGCTACTAATACAGATTCTACAGTAATTTCATAGATATGGGCATACTTTATGTCCTAATTATTCAATAACAATATGACAATTTTTCTTTTTTTTTCAAGATTGATCTGGTGGAAATTAAAGAAGCATTTTTGGAGAGATATTTAAAGACACTTTATTTGTATATAGAGCAAGACACCAGCGGTGACTACAGAAAACTACTTCTCTCAATTGTCGGCAAAAACTAAAAATACTCAAACTCTGAATTTGACTGTGAAAACCGGAACCTACTTAAAGCATCACTGACATCATGTCGCTTTGTTTTAATTATGCCTATCTAATAACTATACTCCTAAAATTATTTACCAAACAGTGTGACCTCTGAAGAGGACTTATTTTGTAGACATTCTGAGTCAAAATGGAATCCTCTAAAATCAAGTTTTAGACAAATATTTTATGTGACTATAGGTGACTCAAGCACAAACAAAAATGTTGTGGCTCCTGATTTCCTTAGTTTTCACAATATTTTGTTTAAAAATGTACAAATTGTACAAAAATCAGATGATTTTTCAGGATCACTATATCATTGTTTATCAATAACACGCCAGAGAATTAACACAACTCCATGCATCACAGCAAATCTTTGTGTGTTCATGTCAGTGTCATATCAGCTTAGAGATCACACTGTTACTTCTTTTTAAAACCTGTGAACATTATAATTCCGTCTGTTTTGTTCTAAATAAACTATTTAACTAAATAAAAGGAGATTATGAAAAATGTTGATCGCAACTTTTCTGGTGCTGAACATATTTTTCATTAGTTGATAAAGTGCGCCCTCACTGTTTGCTCTAGAAATGCAATGATGTTTTTTTCAGAATAATACCATATATGGTAATATTCATCTCCAGAGTAGAGGAAGATGTCAAAGTAATTGGATGTTTATATTTGTTATGTATATCTGTGTATATATTCTTAATACATCTATGATAGATAAATAGATATAGAATATATTATATCAAAGATTTGTCTGTAGATCAGATTAGCTTCATAATTATTATGTTTATTGTATATCTAGAATTGTATTGTTTTTCGACACAAACACACATAAATATGCATGTGAACTCAGATATATAATTCAATTATATAATTATTAAAACAAATACAAAAAAGTGTAAAATGTTACAATTGTACCACAGAGGTCTTGAATCAACTATTGAATCTTGATTTTTTTGTGGGGTTGTATAGCATATAGGAGTGAAGTACAAAAGATCCAATCAATTGAATATATTCAAAGCGTAATTGTTTATTAACACCTCTCAAATTCGCAACAAATAATGTTACAAATATGATAGATTGCAATAACTTTACGACACATACACCATTACTGTTTTATACACCGTAACTGTCACATACCCATAATTAATATAATATTTAATGAGACCAATTACCAAATATTACCTATTATTTATCTTGTTTATCAGACATAACAACTTTATCTATTTAATAGTTCTACCAGGAAAAGATGGGTTTAATACTCGTGTATTGTCGTGGCTCGTGGTTGATTGTCTCTTTAGGACCCTTGTTGTCATCTGCCTTTGATTAACTACTATATGTACAAAATATGTTATTTATTTATGCTCCTAAAAGAAGGAGGGCAAGGGGGGATAGCTGGTACAGGTTACAGGAAATAAAACCGGCATTTTACGTTTTTACAGAAAATAAAATTAAAGTTCTATTTACAATAAAAATAGGTTTTTACACTTTACAGATAAAGCAAATTCAATTTTTATATTTGATAATTTGTGTTTAAGAATCAAAATTGGAAATTGCATTAGAATTACAACGTTTTATGTGGAAAATGCTTTATACACTTACAAAAAAAAAAGATCTCTGTGCAAATTACGAACGAATAATAGAGCTGATTACATTTATTATGAAAATAAAAACAATCGATTACAGCTTACGAAAATAAAAACAATTGATTACAGCTTACGAAAATACCCCTTGCCGACCCTCCTAAAACTTTCAATAATATATTCCAATATTCTTTTTTTTTAATTTGTTGCATGAAAATAATTTGTTGTATATGTCTGGATTTTGAGAACAGCAGCCTAACAGAAAACCTCATTAGCGAAATACAATCAATTGGATCTTTTTCTCACGGTTTTGCCAGATTTTGTGCTTTTTCTTGGAATGAGCATTTAAACTGATTAGAGAGTATGATAATAAAGCAATTTCATCTTGTAGTGTGTTTATTTACTGATGTCAATTATGTAAAAATTAGGAATTATAATTTTCATCAAAGTTTTTTACTTATTTCCTTGTACATATGGAAACTAGTGTTAATTGGCCAACGTTATAAATTTGAATAAAATTGAGCTCTGTGCTTTGTACATTTCTACAAGATAGCTGTCAAATGGTGTATCAATAAAGGGAAATTGTATCTTTCACCATTTAAACAGTCTCTTATTTTTTTTCTAATGCTATGTAAGATCAAGACTTTAAATCAAGTGCAATTTAAAGCGCGGTGGTCGTCGCGTGTTTGAATTTCATGTAAATAAACAATGTATTTTACACGCGTTGTATACGTCGCTATGAGTTCCATATCGAACAGGACGCGGCACAATGACTGCTGACCTTTAACCTTACAAACCCTAATGGATAGAAAAACTGTGACAAACATTTTATTCTTCAACTTAGTTTTGTGATATTGTTTTGTCCATGATGAATTTGCTGTAATTTGTTTCCACTGTATGATTACTTTTTTCAAACTTCGGTGTGCAGAATTTTTTCCCGGCTATTGATGTCTGTAGGATTTATTTTCATCCTTTTTTCCTGTGCATTCCCCCCCCAATTGTGCCACAGCCTTCCAAGTTTCGGATGGGCAACCACTAAATTAAAATTGAACCTGTTCACCATCAGTTCCTTCTTTTCATCACAAAATAGCGCTGTTGACAGTCTGCAGTTTTCTTCAGTAGCTTGGGACAAAAATAGCCAATTTTTTGAATAAAAACTTAATATTAACTCACATTTTAGTTATTTTTAACCCAAATTAGTATTAATTTTAAGAAAAATGTTGGCGAGACAGTCTGGTGATGAAAAGATTAAAGCGTGGTGATCGTCACGCAGCACGTGTTCGGATTTCATGTAAATAAACAATGTATTTACATGCGTTGTATACGTCGATATGAGTCCCATATCGTACAAGACTTGATGCGACGACTGCCGCCCTTTAATGAGTCGGTGAGTAATACAATTATTTGTTAGTAGTGGATTTTATTTTTACTTACAAACACGATCGGTTCATCAAATTTCCTAGCAGCAAAAATTAAATGATTTGGAGTATTTTGTTTATTTTGTACTATTATCACATAAACAATAAAGAAACAAAAATGCTTACATAATTGGCTTTATTATTCAAACATGAATATGGTCAATCAATTGGAATCTTTTTAGTGGTGATGCTTGTTTGGTCATATGTGTATAGCGCCCTCTGTGGGATGTTTCGCAATATTCTTCTAATGTACATTTTATATGGCATAAAAGCCGAAAAGTGATCGTGACAAACTTACTTTCTGTGCTAGTCACACAGAAATTTCTAAACACACTTTATAGAGGGCGCTATATTGAAATATAAATAAATTTTAAAGACTTGTATACGGAATTTCTTATTACGTAATGGATTTAAATGGATCTATTACTTATTCCGCTTATTCTGCAGCTGCAACGACAATATTACGAGAAGACCACATTCTCGTGATAGCTTTTATCTAATAATTCAGCTGATGTAACAATATTAAATAACTATTGATCACATATGTGTTGTTACGCGATGTTTTTTTTTTATTCACCTGACTGTGCAGTTATCATGTTTGTAATACAGGAAATAGCGTTTCAGAGGGTCTATATTTCAATTTTTTAAGAAGGATAATGCCCCAGACCCCCCCCCACCCCCCGTGTGTGTGTGTGTGGGGGGGGGGGCTTGCAAAAAATACCGACAGGGGTGTGTAGCTGGTTGTTTGAAACCCCTACCTCTTATCAGACAGAAATAAACTCAAATTGCCTACCCCCTTTTCAGACAAACTGAATATTTGACACCCCTTTCCAGACAGTAAGCATAAATGGTACCAAGGGGAAAGCAGTTCAACTCCCGGAGATGGACTTTGACGACCGAAATAAGGTTACAAAAAGACAAAATCCGCTTCATTCTCCTGATTGTTGGATCACCCAAGCTCTAGAGACAGTCTTTGGAAAATATGGACCCCTTTTTAGAGAGAAATAATGAAAAATGGATACCCCTTTTCAGACCTACAGGGTAAAATAACATACCCCCTTTCAGACAGAAGTGGTGTTGGGACCCATTTCGGCGGCACATATACATGTAACACTTCAATGTGAGTAACCCCCCCGGGCCCAGACCCCCTAGTAAGGTCGCGCGACATTGGTGAGCAGATCTTGCCCCATGCAACATTTTGTGCCGCTGCCTTTGATGAGACCATGATAAATCGCATTCGTAATGTCATTTCCTCAACTGATAAACGCTTACAAAGAGTTGTCATTGAAGTTGGTGGAAATGATTGTGATGGGGTCCGTGCATCTTCCCAACCAAGCTTCATTTATTAGGCCATTGTCTCATCTGGGAACAGCTATGGATAGCTGGCTTCAGTGAAACCGTGCGAATCAGAAGATGACATCCGAGTCCGCGGCGCAAATGAATTGCTCATTGATGATGCGATCAACATTTTCTGTAGTGAGGTCATTGTTTTCAGTGTTTGCCCATAGACCCTCTATATTCCATGTAAAAAATGGAAATCACTATTGTTTGAAAGACGTAATCCAACGTTCCACTGGTTCACGTTGTTATGGTAACTCATCGTCATGCCGTCGTTTTCATACTCCCTATTATATACACTGTTTTATTTGTGGCGGGACTGCAAATGGAGTCTGTAAACATCTATCTCCGGTTCACTGTTGGTCTTGTGACAGTTTACAGTATAAAGTAGACAGCCGATGACGACCAAGCCGTTCTCGGACCAGTGTCACATATCGGACTCACGGGATCACAATGGTATAGTTTGTCGCTAATGGGATATTTATCATACTAGTATATAAAAACAAAATCGACGAATTAAAGGTTCACCTAAATGCCGACACTTTTAGAGAAAAACTTAGAAGACACATTAACTATTTAACAAAGATATGTATATTCTGGGGGATTTTAAGATTGTCGTCGGATCCTGGGCTATGTCCTTAATTACATATCGTTATGTACTTTAAATATGTGTCAACTTGATACTCAGTCAACACGACCCATGTAAATAATGTTTATCACGAAAACTGGGCTCTCCGATCTCTACATTGCACAGAAAAATCAATTCATCACACACTGCCTTCGATGAGAATTTATTTTTGCGTGATACCTTGGTACATATTGTTATTATATTGAAAAAAAACACCAAAGAATAAACAAAAGTCTGTATGCAAGTCTAAAAAAAAATCATGAATAATTTTATACATACCAGTTGACATTGAAATGAACCTTCTGTACCTGTTTTTTCCTCTGAAACTCCATCAGTTATTACATTAGCTGGTTTGTTGGAAGATCTACAAAGGAGCTCTTTGGCAAGGAATGTCGCCAATACCTAAACATTCCATTATCTTTGGCAAGGAACCCCGATATACCCAGACACAAGGACTCTCCATTATCTTTGGCAAGGAAACCCACTACACCAGGACTCTCCATTATCTTTGGCAAGAAAACCCACTACACTGGGACTCTCCATTATCTTTTGCAAGGAAACCCACTACACAAAGACTCTCCATTATCTTTGGCAAGAAAACCCACTACACTGAGACTCTCCATTATTTTTGGCAAGGAAACCCACTACACCAGGACTCTCCATTATCTTTGGCAAGAAAACCCACTACACTGGGACTCTCCATTATCTTTTGCAAGGAAACCCACTACACAAAGACTCTCCATTATCTTTGGCAAGGAAACCCACTACACTGAGACTCTCCATTCTTTTTGACAAGGAAACCCACTACAGCAGGACTCTCCATTATCTTTGGCAAGAAAACCCACTACACTGGGACTCTCCATTATCTTTGGCAAGGAGACCCACGACACCAGTACTCTCCATTATCTTTTGCAAGGAAACCCACAACACCTAGATTCTCCATTATCTTTGTAAAGGAAACCCACTACACCAGTACTCTCCATTATCTTTGGAAAGGAAACCCACTACACCAGTACTCTCCATTATCTTTGGAAAGGAAACCCACTACACCAGTACTCTCCATTATCTTTGTAAAAGAAACCCACTACACAAGGACTCTCCATTATCTTTGGCAAGGAAACCCACTACACTGAGACTCTCCATTCTTTTTGGCAAGGAAACCCACTACAGCAGGACTCTCCATTATCTTTGGCAAGAAAACCCACTACACTGGGACTCTCCATTATCTTTGACAAGGAAACCCACTACACAAGGACTCTCCATTATCTTTGTAAAGGAAACCCACTACTAAAGGACTCTCCATTATCTTTGGCAAGGAAACCTACTACACAAGGACTCTCCATTATCTTTGGCAAGGAAACCCACTACACAAAGATTCTCCATTATCTTTGTAAAGGAAACCCACTACTAAAGGACTCTCCATTATCTTTGGCAAGGAAACCCACTACACAAGGACTCTCCATTATCTTTGTAAAGGAAACCCACTGCACCAGGACTCTCCATTATCTTTGGCAAGGAAACCCACTACACAAGGACTCTCCTTTATCTTTGGCAAAGAACCCCACTACACTGGGGCTCTCCATTATCTTTGACAAATGAACCCACGACATTATCTTTGGCAAGGAAACCCACTACGCAAGGACTCTCCATTATCTTTGGCAAGGAAACACACTACACAAGGACTTTCCATTTTTTTGGCAAGGAAACCCACTACACAAGGACTCTCCATTATCTTTGACAAATAAACCCACTTGTTGTTTATTTCATCAGAATAAAAAAAATGAAAATACTTAAAGTAATTAAATAGATAAAATAAAAAAAATCTGATGAGGACTGTGAAAATAGTTCTACTGAACTAGTCTAGTCCACAGCCCTGCCATGCTAGTAAACTTATGTGCATAGGTCATTGACAGACAGAAATTATTAATAATTTTAAATCTATATTAGGAAACAAAATATATGAAAAATACAATTCATCAATAACTATTTGTCAAAAAAAAAATTAATAAATAACCAAGCAACCAGTTGATATAATATTAATTAAGCTGTTGTGAAACAATTATTAAAATGAATCAAACTGCTAATCAAACAAAAATAAAAAATATAAATAATGAATTGGTAGGGAAAAAAACAATAAACAAAATCTTCCAAGGAACTAACAAATATGCCCTGGTTAGCAAATATAACACAAAGAAAATAAAGTAACTAAAATACTAATAATAGTCAAGAAAGATTACACTACATTATCTTTGGCAAGGAAACTCACTACACAAGGACTCTCCATTATCTTTCACAAGAAAACCCACCACACAAGGACTCTCCATTATCTTTGGCAAGGAAACCCACTACACAAGGACTCTCCATTATCTTTGGCAAGGAAACCCACTACACCAGGACTCTCCATTATCTTTGGCAAGGGAACTCACTACACCAGGACTCTCCATTATCTTTCACAAGAAAACCCACTACACAAGGACTCTCCATTATCTTTGGCAAGGAAACTCACTACACCAGGACTCTCCATTATCTTTGGCAAGGAAACCCACTACACAAGGACTCTCCATTATCTTTGGCAAGGAGACCCACTACACAAGGACTCTCCATTATCTTTGGCAAGGGAACTCACTACACCAGGGGACTCCATTATCTTTCACAAGAAAACCCACTACACAAGGACTCTCCATTATCTTTGGCAAGGAAACTCACTACACCAGGACTCTCCATTATCTTTGGCAAGGAAACCCACTACACAAGGACTCTCCATTATCTTTGGCAAGGAGACCCACTACACAAGGACTCTCCATTATCTTTGGCAAGGAAACCCACTACACCAGGACTCTCCATTATCTTTGGCAAGGAAACCCACTACACAAGGACTCTCCATTATCTTTGGCAAGGAGACCCACTACACAAGGACTCTCCATTATCTTTGGCAAGGGAACTCACTACACCAGGACTCTCCATTATCTTTCACAAGAAAACCCACTACACAAGGACTCTCCATTATCTTTGGCAAGGAAACTCACTACACCAGGACTCTCCATTATCTTTTGCAAGGAAACCCAATACACCAGGACTATCCATTATCATTGACAAGGAGATCCATGACACCAGTACTCTTCATTATCGTTGGAAAGAAAACCCACTACACAAGGACTCTCCATTATATTTAGCAAGGAAACCCACTACACAAGGACTCACCATTATCTTTGACAAGGAGATCCAAGACACCAGTACTCTCCATTATCGTTGGAAAGAAAACCCACTACACCAGTACTCTCTATTATCTTTGGAAAGGAAACCCACTACTAAAGGACTCTTCATTACCTTTGGCAAGGAAACCCACTGCACCAGGACTATCCATTATATTTAGCAAGGAAACCCACTACACCAGTACTCTCCATTATCTTTGGCAAGGAGACCCACTACACAAGAACTCTCCATTATCCTAGGCAAGGGAACTCACTACACCAGGACTCTCCATTACCTTTGGCAAGGAAACCCACTACACACGGACTCTCCATTATCCTTGGCAAGGATACCCACTACACCAGGACTCTCCGTTATCTTTGGCAAGGAAACCCACTACACTGGGATTCTCCATTATCTTTGACAAGGAAACCCACTGCACCTAGATTCTCCATTATCTTTGGCAAGGAAACCCACTACACCAGTACTCTCCAATATCTTTGACAAGGAGATCCACGACACCAGTACTCTCCATTATCGTTGGAAAGAAAACCCACTACACCAGTACTCTCTATTATCTTTGGAAAGGAAACCCACTACTAAAGGACTCTCCATTATCTTTGGCAAGGAAACCCACTACACAAGGACTCTCCATTATCTTTGGCAAGAAAACCCACTACAACAGGACTATCCATTATATTTGGCAAGGAAATCCACTACACCAGTACTCTCCATTATCTTTTGCAAGGAAACCCACGACACCTAGATTCTCCATTATCTTTGTAAAGGAAACCCACTACACCAGTACTCTCCATTATCTTTGGAAAGGAAACCCACTACACCAGTACTCTCCATTATCTTTGACAAGGAGATCCACGACACCAGTACTCTCCATTATCGTTGGAAAGAAAACCCACTACACCAGTACTCTCTATTATCTTTGGAAAGGAAACCCACTACTAAAGGACTCTCCATTATCTTTGGCAAGGAAACCCACTACACAAGGACTCTCCATTATCTTTGGCAAGAAAACCCACTACAACAGGACTATCCATTATATTTGGCAAGGAAATCCACTACACCAGTACTCTCCATTATCTTTTGCAAGGAAACCCACGACACCTAGATTCTCCATTATCTTTGTAAAGGAAACCCACTACACCAGTACTCTCCATTATCTTTGGAAAGGAAACCCACTACACCAGTACTCTCCATTATCTTTGGCAAGAAAACCCACTACACCTAGATTCCCAATAAAGACATTTAATATATGGACAATAATAAAGCCTCTTTATTAGAATATATACACAGGAAAAAGTGACATTTTCAGTACAATAGATATAAGTACCAAAATGTCAACAACATATATAGGTACCAAATTAAAAAAAAAAACATCTGGCAATCATACAATGAAAACTGTGGAAAGAAAATATAATCACTGCAATTAATACAATTGAAAAAAGTTACCAAAAAATGTTGACAGTATGCAATATTAACCGACTGCCGTTTGTCACTATATGGTTAATAATTGGTAATAGTTTTCAATGGATAACTGGTTGATGTTTTATTACTGATGAGTTTTGATATTTGCCAAGTGTAATCGATTATTAGTAGTTACCAATGGTAATTCATGGTGGGTAGTCACTAAAAGTGACTAAGTATTGAATGTCACCAATAATAACTAAAACTTGGAGGTCAGTTATGTTGGTTGTTAACATCAGTTGGCGGTTAACACCAATTACAAATCATTTACTAATAGTAGTTAACAGTAGTTATTAATGGTAGTTAACATTAGTTACTTATGATTAATAACACCAGCTCCATATGGTAGTTAACATCGGTTACTAATGGTTAACTGTTACTTGCAAATGGTTAATTATTGTTTATCAGTCTGTTTTATAACAATGGCTGGAGAAAGATGTGTATAATTCATTTTGTTTAACCCTCTGAGTGTCCAAGTCAACTGCGGGCACCATCCACAAAATAGTTCCCTTTAAAGTCTGCCTCCCCCCCCCCCACTATTTTGAGCGGGGGAAAATTTGGGTTAAAAGCATTTACGCATTCTGACTCGAGAATGGGGTTTTTCATTTGGCATGATTTATTGAAGTTACCAACCAAAGTGATTGAATTAGTAATTGTATTCTTATCTGACTGAACTGCTAACTTGTTTTGTTTTTTTAAATAAATCAACCAATTGCAAGTAATTGTGATTAAGTATAAACTGGAAATCCAATTTGTCATATAGTGTGAATGGTTTCTCTAGATAGTGAACAGAAACATTTAATAGAAAATTGAAACTAAAACAGATATTGTTAAATGAAATAAAATGCCCATTGGCTCAAGTCAGTAATGATAGCAATATTCCGTTACAATTTGGTCTGGGTGGATAAGAGCTATACAGTTCTAATAATCACATCAAATAGGGGTAAATAAAATGATCCAAGAAATGATAAAAAAAAAGGACAGCTAAAAATAGTTATTATTTTTACAAGATAGATGAAATACTTTTTTTTACATAACGCTGACAGAAACAGCTAACATTTTCAATAAGGGCCCCTTAGGCTACCCAAATTGAGCAGAAAGAAAAAGAGGATAGAAAAAAAAACATTTTAATGTTTAGCATAATGTAACAGTTACATATAAACAAGGTACACTTTCATCATCATCAAGTTACAAAATATAATACTGTTTTGAAGAGTTGCATTAGATGACCACTCCAACTTAAGCATTTTAATTCAATAATAATGTCCCTCCTAAATCAAGCCGCACTCCTTTAATAAATAATAGTTTATTCCATTACAGGAAAATGTTTCTGTTCACCACTGGAGTTGGGAAGTATGATGAAGCGATTAAAAATTAGAATTGCTAGTTTTTATTTTTTCAAAGATAGAACATTTTAACATGTAATATTATTACTATTTACAAGTGTGCTCACACCTTTGTGATTAATGACTGATAGAGGGCGCTATTTGTTCTACAATGGTTACTAAGAAATTTTGTTCTACATGTACTTGTATCTATCAATGACTGGTAGAGGGCGCTATTTATTCTACAATGGTTACTAAGAATATATTAAACAATGACGTCAGGAATACAAAGGTGTGAATAAAGATAGAATAAGCTATAAATACAGCATTTTGTGATTGAATGTCTTTTTTTTTGTAGCAAAAACATACAAAGCGTATCACAAAAATCATTCAGTAATATTAGGTTTTGATTTCTCCCTTCTCTACGAGAAAAGACCCTCCTACATCCAAACAAAGTTGCTCAATAGCATATTGCTATGTGTTACTATTTAGATTACCATAGTAACAGCTAAAACTGTTCTGTATATTTAAATAAAAGGAAAAAGCTTTGACAGTGAAATAAACAAACAAATTGTCAATGATATTTGATATTGCTCTTGTTTTCTGCATCACTACAAAGACATTTTTTCCCTATAAAGTACAATTTTAACAAAAAAAAGGGAAAACTGATTTTTGTTGGCAACTGACCCCTAACCTTTTACCTGGCATACCTGAAGCAAAATAAAAAATTGTGGTTGCTAGAGTAACCAATATGGCTGCTCATGGTTGCTAGGGTAACCAATATGGCTGTTCAGTTTCAAAATACATTAGCTTTTGATTTAGTTCTCAAACTTTTTTTTTTTTGACCTTGGCTCAAAAGTGTTCCTTTTTTTTTTTATTAAAAAAAAAGGCATTGAGAGTTTATTTCAAAGGGAACTCAAATAATCTGATGCACTATATAACATTTTGTGTAACAAAAACAAGAATAATACAAAATTGAAGAATCACATCAAAATTGTATAAACATCAGGAAATGTATTCAAAATAATATATTATCAGTGAACACCCCCCTCTTCCTTTATTCTGTAAATGGTATAAACCTACAGGGGGTGTCTACTCCTCAACGAGACTGAAGTAAAATGTTCATAATATCCCCAAAAAAATTAGATTTTTAAACATGATTGGTCCAATAAATAATCATGCAATATACGTCAACTTCGACCACTTTATGTAAATCGTGTCAACCTAAATATGCAGGTGAACTGATTCCCAACATAAATTAACATGTCTACTCAATTACAAAAATTGGGCAATTTCACGAACACAGTTTTGATTTGAATAGTACGACTTTCTGGCCATACACATAGTATTCAGGGTACCAGGCAACTTTGAATTACCATTTATAAAAGAATTCAAGTTATCAGGCCACTTCAAATTCAAAAATGTTTTGATTAGAATGCACAAGAGTTGTATAGGTGACACACTTGAATTGCAAAATATAAAGAATTCAGGCCCCCGGGCCTTTTTAAAAAGTACAAAATTTTGATTTGAATAGCCCTGATAATAATACAGGTTACCAGGCCACTAATACAAATTTTGATTGTATCGCATCATACCTTCTTGTATGGAAAAACCTTGATATAAAGGTTATGTTATGAAATCTATTTCACAAAACTTGAAACAATAACATTTGTAAACATTCTTTCGAACTATACACTATTTTTTTCTTTTAAAATAGTGAAAAAAAGGAAAGAAAAAGCATTGGCAGTTTTCAAGTTAAACTTATCAAATGAGATCAGAAGTTAATATCCAGTCAGGTTTACTAGTAGAATGCATTAACTAGTAGTATTTCTGTACATGAAATGGTACAATAAAAAATATCTGGTGGGCTGTTCCTTTTCCGTTGCCTCATTATACATTTTGTGTGTTTTCAAACACAATCGGCGATCTACCCAATAAGCTGCTTGTGTTCGATTCATTAAATCCAGGACCCTACGTCTTTTTCAATAAGGTCAACCACATCATTTCGACCCATTTCCTTGAATATTCTTAAAAGATCCGACAGCGCTCTCTCGCCTCGACATCGTGCCTCCCACAAGTCAAGAATGTGTTCCGTTGGACTTGGTTTTGTTGCAAAAAAGTTAATATACCTGTAAATTAATAATAAAGAATTGCACTTAATTTACAAAAAATTAGGTTACTTGTTACTCTTATGCTTCTCGTAAAGTAATCTTTAATGAATTTATTTTAAAAGACATTTTTTGACATCAAATATGCCTACCGATCAACTTTTAACTTTCTCGCCAACAACCTCCAGTCATTGCCTTTCTTCATTGGTCGATCCAGACAGATGCATAATTTATTCCGCGTTGGCCGTGGAATCCTAAAAACTGTGCTAGGTGGATCAACAGTCATAGAACTGCAACCTGAAGTGGAATTTGTTGTGACAGTAGAGGATCGGCTGCGACCAAGTCCATACAACATTTCTGGTGGAAACTGTGCTTTAGTCTGCAATAAAATAAAACAAATCATATAAAATATTAACTTTTTCACCACCAGTTCCCGCTTTTTCTCACAAATTCACAAAATAGTTGCTTCAATAGTCTGCATTTTCTTTCAGAAGATTGAGACAAAAAAAAAGCCAAATTTTTCGAGTAAAACTGAAAATTGACCCAAATTTTGTTAATTGGCTCCAAAATTAGGGTTTATTTTTAGAAATATTGAAGAATATAAGAAAAAATGCAGAAAAAATTAAGCAAGAAATTAAATACCTCATCTAACTAGATGGATAATGATATAACCATATAATTTATAGCTTCAAACTAACCAATCAGTATTCAGTATTTTATATTAATTTATCGGACATATCTGCATACCTCATTAACATTCGTTAAAATTTGCAGACATTGTTTTTCTTTTCCGCCTGACACCTGATAGACTGTTATCCGACAGTGGATCTTCTGTATTTGTCGATCCAACCGCTCCAGAGTGAAGGCACAGTGCAAGGCGTTCATGTTGCCACTCCATATATGGTAGTACGGAATCTCCTACAAGCAATAATCACCATTAGTTATGTAAAGCCACTTTCATATTGGAGAATGAATAAAAAAACAAAAGATTTAATAATAATACCACTGAGGGCAGTTTAAAACAAAACAATTTGATGAAGCTGGCACTGAGGGCAGTCTCACCTGATAGTTGGCCGAGAGTTTGCTTCTCCATCCAGTCATAATATTGTCAATGGTCAGACAGAGGCTAGCACCACTATCGACAAATTCCAATTGTTTGGGTTTGTCCAATAAATGCCCTCCGAGCCTTTGTTCAACTTGTACCACACCCTAAAAAAAAGTTTAAAATTCAATATTGTTGAAAATAAGACAATTTTTCAGTTTTTTGAAAAACTGCTATGCGTCCATTATCAATGTGAGAATCAATTTTTCTGAAACGAAAATTAATTTGTTTTATTGTAAGTTTTTAAACTAGACAATTTGTTGATGAATGATGTACATAGCATAGACGGCAGATTACAAACTAAACTTTGTTTCAAGTAGGTTTCTGTTTGAGTTTGTACTAGTAAGGTTTCCTTCTCTGTACATATTCTCCGAAGAAGCCATACCATATTCATATTCCATCTTGGGTTTGTATAGCACCATATTTAGTAGTGCAAGTGCTAATTTTTTTTTTTTTAAAACAAAATAATATTTTAATGATTCAGAATACAGTGACCACACATGGACTTCATTACAATGGTCTTTATAGACAGGTTGGATTATTTGTTTATGGATCGACAACTCATACATTTGAGACACAATATTTGTAATATTGAAATGGTACAATTGCAACAAAAATACATTTATTTGCTTTGTTCAAAATCAAAAAAGTTGGAATTTAGGAAATTATAAATTTTATAAACAGAATGCTACTACCAGTAATTATTATGGTTAATTACAAAAATATTGATGAAAGGGTTGCTCATACATTATGCCCTGGGACTGTCTAAGTGGTGACTATAGACTGGTGGTAATTACATAAAAATAGTCACTAACGAATGTAAAGATAACAAAATTATTTCTATTTAATTCTAAAAATGACAAAAATTTGAGAATGAGAGCTGTCATCACAAAAGCAACAAATTTGATAGAGGTCCAACCAAGGTAGTGACATATAAGATATTAAAATATTTGTTGTTTTCAAATAAAATTTTTTTTACCAAAAATTACACCTATATTTACTAAAATTAGAAAAATCTGTTATATTTGTATGAATCCCATACAGCCGACAATTTTTAAGAAGAATTCAAAGTGGATGTCGACAATCGGTAATACAAAAATTGTTTGCAAAATATTGGGGATTACTTACCTCCAAGGCTTCCAGCGTGTCATCAACAACATAGACTCTAATATTATAGTCTGCTAACGATCTCAGCGGTTGAGCAAATGCAGCTAATTTCAATATTTTACACGCTTCATGACCTGGTCTTGATTCACCAACTAACGCAAACCTTGACAGTCGATCCACCATCAAGAAGCACTCTGATTCGTCCAACTGGCAGTATAATGGTGTGTTAATTGTTTCCTCCCCTATTGTGACGACCTTCTAAAAAGTAAAAAAAAAAAAAAATTCATTTTAGTTTCATTCCATTCAGGATCTAGATTCATTATTGTAAGTTTTTATGATACTTGATCTATCAGAAGCGCATTTCCAATAGAATCGCACATACCATATTTGTTCTATTAGAAGCACATCTTCAATTTAAGTGCATGCGCTTCTAATAGAAGAAATGTGGTAAATCAAATATGATAGCTTGATTGACAAAAATAGAATTGTCAAGGAAATAATCTTCATTTTGTATTTAGTGACAATTTAAAAAAGATTATATTTGGTACATTTTGACTAAAACAATACGATGTGATTTATTATAAAATAAAAAAACATTTTTTTCATTTATTTCAATGCAAAATAATATGTATCGGTAAATCTGAAGCACATTTCCTTTTCACATCCCTGTATCAAAGAAAACTTGCTATATTTGCTGCCACAATAATGTTTATATTTAATGATAAATTTTACTCATGAATAAATAACCCATACTGTGCATATGAACAGCATTTGGAAACCGGTAAAGGTTAAAAAATTACTGAATGACTGATTAAAATTATAAATTGCCATTTTCTGACAATGTCTAAAGACGAGAAAATGTCACATACCTCCCAGTTAGGGGTTCATCTGGATGAGAGTCACATGTGTATATTGAAGACACCCAGTTACAACCCTCTACGTGTGCACAGTGTGGAAACTGAACCACCACAGGTTTCTTAAAATTCAGATGTGTTGGACCACACATTATAACAGGGCTTAAAATTGTCTCTTTGCCTGCTTTGACCTTCGGCCTGTCTTTTTCCTCTCTGCACACAGCAATGTAAATTTCTTCAGTCTGACCTTTGGCCAAAGCACCTTCCGCAATAAGTACACTAACGCCTGGTGAGAAAATAAGAATGTGTTTGTAACAATAATATTGATTGGTTTAAAAACCTAGTAGCATATTGGCCAATCAGAAATGTTGTTTCTCCCACATTCTTACCTGTATCAGGGACTGTAAGTCTGCCTCCTCGGTGTCCCATCATGCCCCAGGCAATGCATCGTGGGTCAATATGTGTAGGTAATGTGGTACTCGCAATTGAACACATAGAATTGCCAAGATTGTCTGAGTCATACATTGACATTGGCCGCGAACTGCTATCAGATAAACTTTTAAGAGTCCCAAAGCTCTTTTCTGAGTTGCAATCATCTGTTTCCACAGCCATTTTTATTGATTGGTCCGTTGAGGAGCCAATCAAGTCTGTCTCCCGGATAATATCAAGTTTTTCTTTCAAGGCCTCATCATCCAATGGAAGCACATTTAGTTCTTTATCCGGCGAATGAACAGGAGAGTAGCACGAAGACACAAATGACGATCGCGGTGAAATTTGCGATGGCGTGACAGAACATTCCGGGCAAGATAAAGGCTGAATGGTTTCGTACTTATTTTCACTCGGCGTTGTAGCACTCAGCGTCATTGAATCGGACATTTTGGATTTGTTATTAGGTATGTTGTAGATTGGAGGCACAGGCGGTGAAATCATCACCAACTTCGTTGTGTCCATATCGCCATTTCGCATCATCAGATTCTGATTGCGTAATTGACATGTCGACTGTGTGACATCAGGCTGAATAGATAACATCGCCATGTGAGCGTTGTCTAATAAGAAGTAAATATAGTACAAATAATGAAATTCAAAGCCACAGTTGAAATGAACTGTGCCAGTTGAAGATAATCATTAAAGCGGGAGGGTCGTCACCTGTGCATGTGCTGGAACTGAGTCCCAAACGACGATAACAACACACGCTAAAAATGCAAAGGTTCATTGGTAGACGCTTGTTTGTAAACAATGACACGCTATGGCCATCTGACGCATACGCAGGTGACGACTCCCCCGCTTTAAGCAAATCAAATCCTCTGGTAATATAACACATAAACACTACACTATGAACAAAGCTAACATCATCTTGACTTGATTTTGTAAAGATCCTAAGTAAAAATCAAATTCCTCAAAATCAAATTGAGTTAGTTTG